GTCTGGGTCTGAATTTTTTATCTGAAAAACCTAAAGAAAGGAGGTGGTGGATTCTTTTCACACAAAGAAGAAGACAAAGTTCTTGCATGATAACATGTGATCACTGCAACTACAGAGGACTATTTTGTGAAAATTCTTGCCCAGGGGAATATGGTTGAATGTGATAACAACTTAATGTTATAATCCCAAGTATTAATTATTTCAGTTAAATTCACTTCTAACTAAGCCTGTAAATATAACACTTTTCTCTTTTTCATTTCAATAGTTTTACATAAAAGTACACAGAATTAGGGGCAGAATCCAATTTTTAATCTCAACTAAAGTAGATTTACCAAATGGGACTTCTTAAATCAACACACTAGTAATTGATTCAATTCAACTTATCACCTAGCTGTGGACTAACAACTAGGTTCTATCCCTAGGACCAAAGCTTTTGACTTTGTAAAACAGACAATAAGCAGGAGGGGGACTGCAATCTTTTGGTACATTTCAGGGTGACTAGAAGGAAGTCAAGATGGATTTCTGACTTTCAGTTGTTTAACAACAGCAAGAGAAAAGCAGGAGAAAAGCAGGAATGGACTTTTCCAAGAAAGGCCTATGAGACTAATTCACTTCTTGTACTGAATCTATCTCATTGTTCTGCGTTTTTTGCACCTGGTTCTGCTTGGCAGATCTTGGAGTTTGAGTAAAAAAAAAAGTAGATCCAGCTAGCTGGACACTTGCCCACCTTTGCCATAAAGGAAGTGGTCAGCTCTGTACAGTGCTTACAAAACTGCTGGCACTTGCATAAAGGAGCTGTAAAAGTCGTGTTAGCCCGATTAATATCATTCAATTAGACAAAAGTAAAAAAAAAAGAATCATTACACTCATATATAATCAATTACAAAAATAATTTCACATTTGATAAACTGAAGAAACTGTCATGTGAAAAATTTGGATTTCTTTCTTTCAAGTATTATTCATTTATATTTGTCTCAGGAGTTTTCTATCTTGTTTTTCAGTTCTTTGGGCAATGAACTACTCAAATATGATCAAGTCAATATGTGTGTCAGTGGCAGATGGCAAATGGCTCTCCATCAACACTAGAAACGACATTCTCAGAGAAGCCAGATCTTCACAGTAATTGATTCTTTGTCATGCAAGCAAGCACTGCTTGCTTTCTAGGGAAACAGTAAAGCATAAAGCATGGGCAACAGATGTACAGCCTGTTCCAGATCTACGAAAGTTACTTTAAAAAATTCATTCATTCTGTAACTCTTTATATTACTCCATTTAATCATGATTTTTGAAAAAGGTGACCTTCCATTATTTATTATTTTCTATTACTTAGGGTGGGATACCAAGGACTGGTGAAAGAAAGGCATGAAAACTGGGGGGGGGGGAATCTATTAAAAATATCTCTAGTATACCATTTTTAAAGTAATCAAGAACTGCTGCTTGCTATCTCAAAAGATTTCTTTACTATTGTGGCTCCTTGTTTCATCGCTTTTGAAATACAGCTTCATTATATCCTCACTACTAAGAAAGGAGGGGGACTCCTTACAGAAAAACTATGGGTCAAACTTGACAATAATATTAAGACATCATTAGAAGTAAAGCTTTCTTAACATGAAGTGCCAAGCCAAGGCATAACGTAACAGGAGGAAATAAACATTTGCCTTTACGTGTGGTCTCACTCTAAGATACTTGTTACTTCCAAATGCTTGTCCATTCCACTTACAATATACAATACTCATAAAGAGTGGTGAATGTGACTAAACAAAGCAAAATATGAAAAATATTGTTCACAGTAGGCAACAGCCAGAAGCTCAATCCCATGTCCTGTTGCTATTACAGTAGAGAACAGGATTTGGGATTCAGACATAAATATATATTCAGTACCAAATAAATATACATAAATACATATGGAACAACTGATTGGTTCAAAATTGGGAAAGGAGTACGATAAGGCTGTATATTGTCTCCCTGCTTATTTAACTTATATGCAGAATACATCATGCGAAAGGCTGGACTAGATGAATCCCAAACCAGAATTAAGATTGCTGGAAGAAATATCAACAACCTCAGCTATGCAGATGATACCACTCTGGTGGCAGAAAGTGAGGAGGCTTTAAGGAATCTCTTAATGAGGGTGAAAGAGGAGAGTGCAATAAAACATCAAAAAAACTAAGATCATGGCCACTGGTCCCATCTCCTCCTGGGAAATAGAAAAGGAAGATATGGAGGCAGTGACAGATTTCACTTTCTTGGGCTCCATGATCACTGCAGATGGTGACAGCAGCTACGAAATTAAAAGATGCCTGCTTCTTGGGAGGAAAGTGATGACAAACTTAGACAGCATCTTAAAAAGCAGAGACATCACCCACAAAGGTCTGCATAGTCAAAGCTATGGTTTTTCCATTAGCGATGTGTGGAAGTGAGAGCTGGACCATAAAGAAAGCAGACCGCCGAAGAATTGATGCTTTTGCATTGTGGTGCTGGAGGAGACTCTTGAGAGTCCCCTGGACTGCAAGGAGAACAAATCTATCCATTCTAAAGGAAAACATCCCTGAGTTCTCGCTGGAAGGACAGATCCTGAAGCTGAAGCTCCAATACTTTGGCAATCTCATGAGAAGAGAAGACTCCCTGGAAAAGACCCTGATGTTGGGAAAGTGTGAAGGCAAGAGGAGAAGGGGACAACAGAGGATGAGATGGTTGGACAGTGTCATCGAAGCGACCAACATGAATTTGACCCAACTCCGGGAGGCAGTGGAAGACAGGAGGACCTGCTGTGCTCTGGTCCATGAGGCCATGACGAGTTGGACACGACTTAGCGACTAAACAACAACTATATACATGTTGTCAGTAAAGAGACTACTTTCCCCTTGCATAAACACTACAAACTGGCTCCATCCTTTAAAAAAATGTGCAGCTGCAAAGAACGTTATCTAGACAGTGTCAAAAACCTTTCCATTGCTTCTAGTTTGTTTACAGATACAATCCAAAGTACTGGCTTTGATCTCTAAAGTTCTTAGTGGCTTGCAATTAGGACATCAAAAGGATCTCTACTCTGACCTATTCACCAGGGTTGCTACCTGAAGTCCTACTTTCAGTGTTCCTACCTTCAAAGATTAGGTGGCTGGTAGTTGGAATAGAGAGACGTGGGTGGCGCTGTGGTTTAACTGCTGAGCCAGTGGACTGCCAATCAAAAGTTTAGCAGTTCAAATCCACACAATGGGGTGAATTCCCATTGCTTGTCCCAGCTCCTGCCAACCCAGCAGTTTGAAAGCTTGCAAATGTGAGTACATGAAAAGGTACCACCTCACTGAGATGGTAAGAGTGTTCTGTGTCTAATCATGTCATTCACGTGATCACGGAAACTATCTATGGGCATATGTCAGCTCTTCAGCTTACAAACGGGAGTGAGCACCCACCCCTAGAGTTGGAGACAACTGGATTTAATTGTCAAGGGAATAACCTTTACCTTTACGTACCTGGAATACATCCTTTTTGTAGACGTACACCTTTTGCACACTGAGCTCCCTTGAAATATATACGTATCTGTTGTCTACCTTTTAGCATTGTGTCATTTTACGTAACTGGAATACATCCTTTTTGTAGACATATACCTTTTGCAGACTGAGCTCCCTTGAAATATATACCTGTTGTCTACCTTTTAGCATTGTGTCATGAGGCAAAAGACAGTTGTTTAGTTGTTTTAGCTGACTCCTATCATTATTTGCAGGTGGTAGTGTCTCTACTTTTTTAATTGTTGTGCTGCTGATATCACAGTTAAGGTCAATTTTTCTATACAGATGGTAAACCATCTTGAGCACATTTTGTGAAAATATCAGCACATTCAAATGCATAAATAAATAAGCAAACTTAGTCCCTGAAGACGTGACAGCATCAAACTGAAAATATGCATCTGAGACTTACTGCTTGCAAAACTGAATTTTACCAAGTTGGCTGATATCGAGGAATGAGATCTCACTTATTTATGCATTTATTAAATAGTGGCCCAAGCTCTCTCTCTCTCTCTCTCTGTGTTCTCCAAGTACCTGTCCCACCCACATTTTATCAATTTCAGCTCTTACTGCCTTTCAGTACCCTCCTACCATATATCAGCATCCTAATGATATGTATTTCTACACTAAAGAATATTATGTTGCCTACACTGTGTAAAAGTGAGTGTCTAGTATGTCAGACAGGAGTTTTTTCCAGCCCTACCTGCCACTGATCCTGGGATCTCCTGCAAAGAAAACATGTGCTGTATTGGTAAGCTAAATCTTCTTTCTTCTTGGAAGGTAACAATAAAGACAATGGCCCAGTTTAAAAGTAAACACAAACCACTTTTTTTGGTGTGAGCATAAGGCATAGCAAGCTGCCGGCTCACGAACTGTTTCCTCCCATTTCCCAGTTCTTTACCCATGAATGGTAGAGACTAGACACTTGTGATTGTGGTTTGCAACAAACCACAGTCTCTCATTTCAGATAAATACCACAAACAGTGGTTTGCTGCAAACCATAATGTGTTTTCAAACCAGGATCTGAGGCTATGGTTGGTTGCTGATTTATGCTTCTACATACAGGGTTTTCTCCTGTTTTTCTTTTAATTATAATTTCTTGATTTAATAAAACTGATAAATAATTTATTAGAAATTGAGACAAAGTGTTCAGGTTCAATTGCTGGATAGTGGCTTAGGCCTCTGGCTGTGGAGTCAGAGGCTGGGAGTTCAATTTCCCACTGTGCCTCCTTGAGAGGGGCTGGACCCGATGAGTCACAGGATCCCTTTCAGCTCTGTAGTTCAAAGGTTATTATTATTACTATACTTAGAATAATGTAGATCAACATTTTTCATCATTTTTTAAAAAAGAACCATTGTATCTGAATTTGGCAAACAGGCAATTAGCTAAATCTGATAATAGTTGTTCTTTTTTTAAAAAATACACTGTATGGTCATCTTTAGCATATTATTCCATAAAATTATGTACAAACCTCCCCTTCCCTTCTTTGATACCTTTATAGTTTCGCTAGGAACACCAGGTTCTGGAACTTTATTCAAGTAAGTGGTCAAGTCTTGATCAACATGTTCAAATACCAATGTTAATTTCGTCTCTCTTTCTGTTCGGGACACTGTGCATACATCGAACAACCTAAGAAAGAGAACAAAAATGCTACATAAATGGATGGAAACAGAGAAGGAATTTGAAGTCACTTTAAAATGTATATCTCCATTTGTTACAAATAATTAAATGCAAATTCCAGCCAAATTTAAATACAGACCTACCAGATTGTCAGAGGACAACACATTGGGATAATCAAAATTATTGAATCTATGTCACTTTCCATAGAATGGAGCCATAACATTATTTTTGGTATTGTTCTTCACTGAAGCTATTTTATTTTACTGACAAACAATAGCCTGCCCAGTCACTCAAATACAGTACATAAAACTCGAGATGTGGCTAAAGCTCTCTAGACTTGGACTTACTCTACAGGTGAAAAGAGAGTGGCAAGACCCTGTTCCATGAATGTGATTTCTGTTCATTCAAAGAAGGAAAATTAGGATCCAAGCCAATGAATAACTGGCAGCAGGTATTTCATGGGAAATGTGCAGAGACTTTTCAACCGAAAAACCTCTGAAATGGCATTATTATATACGGAACAGCATTAGTACCCTACAACTCAAGTATGTTATATCATAACTAGAGATGGGGGTATTCGTATTTGAATATGAATATCCCCGCACAGCTGGAGTTAATGAGGGTTCAGCCCCTGGGGCCAGATCATCTACTCACACATCCGCCACTGCCACTGGCCCTTCTCATCCTTCCAATCACTCCCGAGCACTGTTCTCTTCCCGGTCAGCTAGCCATTCCCAGCAGAGGGAGGGAGTACGAGTCTCCCTGCAAGGCTGCCAAATGGCTAGCCAAGCGGTGTTCCAGAGGGACTGGAAGGAAGAGATGGGCCGCCGCTAGTGGGCACATGAGTGGATGGTCCAGACCCCTGTTAACTCCAGCTGCACAGGAATATTTGTATTTGTATATGAATACGAATACCCCCATCTCTAATCATAACATAGACAGACAGACAGAATTATGTCTTCAAAGGCAAAGCAACAGATGTCAAAGGTTTATCCCTCTACCAGCTCATCTAGGAATCAGGATAAACTATTGGGAGAAAGGAGAATATGTATAGTAAAGGGTAGTGAAATTACTTATCCATCTCAGCACTTGGATGAGGTTTTCCTAGACAAGTGCTTTTTCCAGACTCCACATTCAACTGCCTACTACCAACTGTGATTCTTGGAGATACCATCTACCTTTTAGAAGTCATTTACACATACTATAATGCCAACCAGGTCACAGTGAAGTTTAGAGAAGTGCCTTGCCTTTGTTTAGACCTTTTTTATCTCCAGATATCAAAGCAGCTTACAAATTAGGTAACAATTAATATCCTGAAGAACAAAGACCTGTACCAAGCTACGAGTGGAAGCAAAACAATCTTGCAGTTATGATACTGATCTGCCATTTCAGATATTACTAAACTCGGTTACCTCTGAGATGAATGGGGTTTGCACCACTCTTCAAATTTGCAGTCAAGTTAAGGATATTTAAAAGATGAATAAAGAAATGCTTCTTGTTACAGTAGGACTGCCTGTACCTTTACTGCTCAAACAAATAGTCTACTTGTGGATATAGTACAGTATTGAAGGGGGAAACAATCAGCAATGACACTAGACCACAAGTCTGTGAACAGCTCTCTGCACAGAGAAGCATGGTCAGTTAATGTCTCCAGTAAGGATTAGCTCACAACATGCTGGCATCCACAAGCTGTTTCAAGTTTAACAAGATCCACAACATCTACCTTTAAAATGCATTAATCTAACAACAGTGTGCACGTTATCTATTTGTGAGAAATTATAAAAGGAAACTTCTCTGCATTACAACCCCCAGAACACCCAGTCACCATGGTCACTGGTTGGGGTATTCTATTGCTATGCTGGCTAAGATACTGTAGGAGTTGCAGTCTAAATAAGTAACTTTTCCATCTCTGGTGTGTGGATGAGTGCATGCAGAATTGTATATGGAGTCTTCACAGTCTCAGGCCCTGAACAGTATCTTGTTCAAGTTGTGCATAAATCTATCACTGTCTGTTTAAATGACCTGGCCTGGAAAACCAGTGTAGTAACAGCAGATCCGTGTCTGCCACAGTAGTGCAAATAATGCTCTCTCTGCTGCCTTCAACATTTTGTCCTACTATGGAGGTTAATAAAAAAGTAATAAAAAAAAGAAGAAAATGTTGAAATACTGGATTATTTTTTGTCTACATAGTAAATACAGCCATTTTTAGCCATTTCCTGTACTCCACATCAATCATTTCTATAACAGAATCGTCTGCCTAACAATACAGCGTTAACTATCTTTTAAAAGCAGGACACTGCTACTATTCAGTATCCTTTATTTTCCTGAAACAAATAACTTAAACATGGTTGCACTATCTAGGAAACAGCAGGACAAAATTATCTTGAAGCTGTTTGCTAAAGTTAATTTCCTTGATATTTTATAATGATTTAATAATATGAAATGTATTCATATAAATCTTCCATTCCAGTACATGCAAACATGGAGGAGCCAGACAAGTCCAAAATCTGAACATAAACATTGGAAAATATTTCCAACTGCATGTTTCTGTTGAACAACATTTACTTAATTTTTAAACACCTTTTTTGCCAAGTATTTAATACATTGGCAAAGATACTTTTGACTAATGCAATATTTTTTAAAGGATTCCACTGTGTAGAATGCGAACACCATCAATATTCTGCCCATTTCTTTTAAAGGCCAGTAAAATGCTTATAGCTGCAAGGTCTCTTTTAGATCATCTTGACTCTGGATGGCACAGGATGAGGAGGATGAAGATGATTTTGCAGAAGTGGCATTGATATTATATTTATCCATGTATTTTTATTGTATCTTGTATTTATGTATGCATTCTTGGCTGAAATCTTGTAGCTTAGCATAGTACGTTGCAACTAGAGTAGGCTCATTGTGGGGATTTGGTGAATGGGCCCACTCAAGTTGTGACTTACAGTCCTAAACAAAAGGATTTAGGCCATAGATGTGAACTTCCTTGGGCAGTTTGAGATTAGAAAAGTGGTATGGAATTTTACAGTGAATAAAATTAATTCAGATATTTCAAATAATAAGCACATTCAATATCCTTATTTTAAAAGTACACATGGCTCAAAAATAGAGACTACATTACTTAGGAAAATCTATTGTGGCTGGATTCTTTCAGCTAGCTTCTTTCAAACAGACAATTCTAAGTCTCTATTTCAGAATTTTGTGGATTCAATAGCCTAACAATCCAATGGCACGATCTACCAAGAAGATCCTCAGTACAAGTCTATTTGAGCATGCTACTTCAAAGGGGTTTGCGTTACCCATTAGATTAGGTCATATAAACACATTAAACAGAGAATAGCACTTATGCTGCTGTTCCAAGCTGTTACTCTAAATATCTGTCTGACTTACTGAAGATGTGCAGACAGAGTTCCCTGGAAGAATAAGGCAAGATCTAGAAAGGATAAGGTTATCCTATCCTATCCTATCCTATCCTAACCTATCCTAGTAGTTCTAGACAAAAAATTGATATAAGGGTAGGATAGGATAGGTTTTTGGCTAAAGTCCTCCTGACAATTTACTCCACAATAAGTGAAATCTCAGAAGTCATGTTGGCAAATGGCTGCTAATTAATGAAGTGCCAGTTGCATGCCTGGTTATGTGCAACCAGCCACATGACTAGACATTTGCTAATTAACTCCAATTTGTTCCCATGACTTAAACATTCTCAGTAATAAAATCTCAAGATAATTCTGGTCTTTTTTTAATCTTTTTTTTTTCACTGCAGTATATTATTTGTTCTTTCTTGAGCCTTTAAAGACAGGTATTATCAAAGCACATCATCCAATTACTGTACTGCCTTAAGAACATCATTCAAATATCAGTGACCAGTACATCGTTTGTACATAGGTAGGCTCCACTAATTGTGACAATCAGGGCCAGCAGATCCTGCTCTCCCAGTATCTGCAGTAAACATAGAAAAGTTCTATCTCTTCAAAGTACAATGCACAGCTGCCTCTCCTAACAAATGACTTCCATGAAGCTCAAATTACCTAAGTAAGGCTACCTGAGAGTCCACAGCCAAATAAACTTCCATGAAACTCAAATTACCTAAGTTAGGCTACCTGAGAGTCCACAGCCAAATAAAGCACAGCAGATTTGTTTTAAGTAGGGTTTAGGCTATAATGCTATGCATGCTTTCTCAGATGCATGCGCCATCAAACAATACAGACCACGTTGTTGGTCCAAAAACAACTGAACATAACCAAATGCATCTAAACTCAAGCAACTAAACCAAACCAAGATACCGATATTTAAAGAAAATATAAAAGAGATGCAGGAAAGGATGAGTATCCAGTGTGGTGTAGTGGGCAGTGTAATGGACAAAGGCTTAGGAGATCTGGGTTCAATTCCCCAGGTCTGCCAAGGCAACTTACTGGGGCCCAGAACTGGTAAAATCTTAAATACCTCATTTATCTTGAAAACCTTACTACGGTCAGTATAAGTCAGTTCTGACTTGATAGCACCTGACAACAAACAGGAAAGGACTTCACTGCACATTAGGATTCACATTAGAGAATTTGCCATAATCTTCTGGATTCGGGAAAGATAGAATAATAGAGCTTTAAGAGACCCCCAAGGCCATTGAGTCCAACCCCTATCAAAGCAGGAAATCTATACCTAAGACCCTGTTGTCAACCATCCATCCAACCTGTTTAAAAACCTCCAGTGAAGAGGAATCTACCATCTACCCTGGTAATCTGATCCACTGTTCATTAGCTGTTATTATCTGAAGTTCTTCCTGATGTCTACTCAAAACTTCCAGTCCTGAAATCTGAATTTATTTAGTTTGGGCCCTAGGCCCTGAAGCCACAGGGAATGAACTTGCTTCATCTCACATATGACACTCTTCAGTATTCAAAGATGGACATCATATCACTTCTTAATCTTTTCTTCTGCAAATAAAACACACACAGTATCTTTAACTGCTTTTTATAGGGATTGGTTTCCAGATCCTTTGCCATCTA